TTCCAAGTTTATAGTAGAGTAACTATTAGAATTAATAGAATTAATTAATTAATTAAAGTGTTTAATTAATTATTAATTTTATTGGAGCTCGGGATTATAGGTCCATTTGTCCCTGCGACGTCCTTGTAATTCTACCAGACATAAAGGGTAAAATGAGAATTTTAGAATTATAAAATTCTAAAATTAAATACTCAAAAAATAATTAATTGAGAATTAATTATTATTTAAATAATGTGATTATTTAAATTTGAATTTGAATTGTGAACATAATTTAAATTTATCTTTTTGAACTTATTTGATAAGTTGTTCAATTTAGAATTCAAATTATTTTAAGTTTGACTTAAATTTGAATTTGAATTTGAATTAAAATTGGACTACAGGATAAAGGATGATTTCTCTTCCTTCCCTATCTGTTATTGGCACCACACACAGGGTGAAACCCTAAGAGTGTGGCCAGCCACCTTGTGGATAAGGGGAAGGGATTTTTTGTTCCAAATTCAAAATTGGAGATAGGGATTTGATTCTGTTTTGAAGTTTGACTTCTACTCTTTAAATATGAGAATGATTTTAAAACATTTTTCAACCCTAAAATTAGTGGTGGCCGAATTTACTCAAAGGGAAAAAGAAAGCAAAATATTTTTCTCCAAAAATTCCACATCGTGCATGCATTGGGGTTTGTGGAAATTTGAGTGTTTCAGAAACCTGTTTTGTCTCACGTGTGCCCACACACACGTCTACGTGGAATCAAGGAATTGACGTGGAAGACTTTTGTTTTCTAAACACAAAGATTGGAGCAAAGACTGTTCGTGGTCAAAGAACTCAAGTTATTATCCGAGTCAGCTTCCAGATATTTTTCCGGATTGAGTTCTTGATGTAAATTAATGCGATTAATTTATTCGTGCATAAATTAATATAATCTATAAAGTATCTCAAACGTTTTTCTAAAATTTTTGTTATACACGATTCGTCTCTCCGCCGCCGAATTCGATTCGGCAACCAACAATATTTTATTAGAACCAAAAGCTTTTTAATTTTACTATGTACTACTTTAATATTCTGAACTTGTCAATAACAACTTTAATAATTATGAAATTTTTATAATTATTAACTCACTCACGTGACAACAGAGCTCACTCACGTGACAACGAGTTATCTTATTTTCCCCTAAAAAAAGTTGTCACTTATAAATATATATAAAAAATAACAAATCACATATAGTCATATACCACTTGGATTATGATTATCGTTTTAGCTAAGGTGTTGGAAGTGGCTTGGATACAATTATGTCGTTCACATGTATCTGTTACGTCAGAATATATATGATGTAAGCAAATCTAATTGGACTTCGCATATACCATTAAAGGGGAAAAGAAAGTCTTTGTATGGCAAGGAAATAAAAAATAAAAAAAATCTTTACATAGCCAAACAAAAGTAGGGAATAGTTAGCTACTACTGCTTTATTAATCGTACTCATGTATTGGTCAGTTTAAAAATGCTAAAAAGAGCTTAAAAACAAACCCACCTTCTCTAATCAACCAGCAAAATCCACTCAATAATTGAAAATTTGAGGAGACTCAATTTGCTCTCCAAAAGTAGATCGCCACCACGAAATAAGGGATCCATGCCCTGCACATTTACCTGCAAAATCTCTCTCTCTCTCCTCATTCTCTTATTCTTGCTCTTGTTGTAGTGTACTTGTTAAGCAACTAGTCTTTAG